ACCCTGTCTCAAAAAAAAAAAAAAAAAAAAAAAAAATGTTTCTTCCCCTACTGCTATGTTAGTGAGGTAAATTTTTTTTTCCCTCTGAAGATCTTGGTGCTTTATTGAACCCCTAGAGTTGAAAGGGTTTTCATGGTAACTTTTCTTATGACTACTTCCCCAGAATTTGTGGGGCTCCCATTACATGCAAGTGATAGTATGCTAGGGCCAACTGCATGCTTGTCCGCAGTGCCATGTTTCAGGACACACAGAAACCAGCAGATGCTGCAGGCAGAGGGTGCACTGGATAAGCTGCCCATAGGCAGCACTGGGTAAGTTTCAGTTGAGGGAGTAAATGAGAAGGACCTGCCACTGGCTGTGAGAAGCTCCTAGATATGTCACGCAGGCATCTATCCTCAGAGATTCCACTGTGCAGTGAAGGGCCAGCACTCACATTCTACAAGGCAGGTGCAGACGAAGTCAGGGAACAGTGAAGCAGTCACAGTGTGCACTGGGAGAGTAAATGAGCAAACAGTAGGGACAATGAACATTTGATTTGTAAGCAGGGGAACTGCTGCATGTGTATGGAGGAGAGGGGTGTTCCACACCCACCTGTGATGCAAGCAGCCAATACCAGCTCCTACTGAAGTAGGCAGACGAAGGCTCTGCCCTCAGGAGCATGGGTCTGAGTGGTAGAGACAAAATGAGCCAGAGAGCAAGTGAAATACCTAGGAGGCCTTGGGAGTATGAGGCTGGGAGAAGAGCGAGGAGCAGGTGCAGGTGTTCTTGCAGCAAAGTGTGGCCTTTCAGCAGTGATCCGTGAGTCAGCAGCAGAAGACAATACTGTGGTGGTGACTGGCTCCAGGAGCCATGGCAACCTGTGGACTTTTACTTAGAGAAGCAGGAAGCTCCTGGCAGGCTTTGGTGACAGGCTTATTGCCCTCAGCAGGTCTTTGGGCTGCTGTGTTTAGACCAGAGCAGATGGAAACTTACTTGTGAGCCTGTCTTCTACAAAGTGGGTTCCCTTTCAGCATGGAGTAGGATTGCACTTAAAGCTTTTCTGTATCAAGCTATTTTGTCAAATAAAATCTAGTAAATGATGAAGCTTTGTGTTCAAACCCTCCTGGATTTGTTTAATGCCGATTTGGCCTACATAACTCTTTGGAACTTTATGAAATTAACTGGTAGCTCTATCTTTCATCTTTTTAAGGGTAGCACTTAAAACTAGGTACAAAGTGTTTTCTGCTTGTTTCATTTTTCTCTTCACTGGCTAAGGAATTCTTTTTTCTAAATCATAGGCACTTCCTCTGAATAGGATGTAGACATCTTTCACGATACCCATGTGTGGGCTTTCCCACCCCAGTGCTGGGACCGTGCTGGTGCTCAGGAGCAGGATGGATCTCACATTTGCATGTTGCCTTGCGTCACCAATGAGTGTGCTGCAAGGCCAGAGCTGTCACTTGCTGTATTGCTCTGACACACAGGCACTGAGACATGCAGTAGGAATCATCCTGCCTGTGAGGAGAGGAGGCTTGCAGATGCCAGGCACCTGCGCTGGGCAGGGGAACACTGGTCTTGGGAGGATCTTGGAGTGTCTTCTGTGGAATGGGTGGAAGGTCAGACACCTCTCCCTGCAGCACCCCATCTCTGGATCTGATCTGGTTTGGAAATGAAGCATCTGCATTAGAGCAGTGGACTAACTCCATGGCCAGGTGTGGCATCTGACTGGACAGGGAGGTGTCCTCCTCTGCCCCTGCCCTCAGGCTTGGGGTGAACTCTCCATGACTGCCGACTATAGAAGTAGTAGATCCTTCGTAAACTAGATCATCAAGTCTTCCCATGTAGTAAAGCCTGCATTTGAGGAGAACCTAACTCATGGCTACAGTTCTTCTCCAGGAAGCCATGTAAGGATTGGAGGGTACTGTCAGAAATGCTCTGGCTCTTGCTGTCCTGGTGCAGCACTGGACATGAGAGCTGAATGCTGTGTAACCAGACACATGTCACTTAGAGTCTAACCATCTTCCAACTGTTGGCCTTTGACATGACATTGTATTTCCTTCTGATTTCAATCTGAATATAGCTTCATTCAGATCCGTTTTAAACCTGTACTCTTCTACTTTGATTATATAACATTCAGGCCCAATAGAACTTGAGAGCCCAGATAAACTACAAACATTCTGAATTGCTGTACCACTTGGTCATATTTGCAATGTGATGGCTAATTAACAAGTTGTGTTGTATGACTATCAACATCATTTTTATACCAAGGTTGCATTCTGTTGCATTGTGTGAAAACACAAGTGTATGTCCTTACTCACCAGATCTGGCACCATGTGACTTCTAGGTCTTCCCCAAAGGCAAAATGACCATGAAAGATTAATATTTTGAGTCAGTTCAGGACATCAGGGCAGCCAGGACAGTGCAACGCAAGATACTCACAAAAGAGTGCATCCTGAACTACTTCAGAAAGTGGCAAGAACAAAGCCGTAAGTGTGTTTGAAATCAGAGGGAGTATTTTGAGGGGATTAATGACAACATGTCTTTTAGGGTAATAAGTATTTTTAAACATTCACTGTATCTTTGATCATATCTCATATTTCAGGGTTTACTTTGAGCCCACAGACTAATATCTATAAAATAATACTTTCTTTTTTTTGTCTTTGTTTTTTGTTTTTTGCTTTCCAGACCACATCAGAGTAATCTCTGCTTTCTTTAATTACTGGATTACACATGTCCTTCCTGAGAAAAACAGTGAATAAAACCAGTATATCTCTTTAAGAAGAATTAATATTTACAAGAAAATGTAAATGACAATGTTGGCTGAGAGTTCTTTCTTATAGACAAAGAAGATTAAATTCCACTATTTTCTTTGTAACTCAAATCCTGGAGACTTTGAAGACATTTCTGCCATACAGTTTATTCCTGTGTTTGTACATAATGGGTAAGATTATGAGACTTCAAACATCTAAGACTTTAAATGAGAAATGGGATAAAATTAAAAATTTCACCTATTTGCAATTACATGTCTTGAATTACTACATAAAACTGGATTGTTTTTCTAATTCCTCTAAAACATTGAAAAGGGACATTGTATTAAACTATATAGTTGTTTTAGTCACTTCTTTCAAAATACACAGCACCCGAAACTTAAAGAAGGAGATGTTTATTTTAGCTCATGTGTCGGTCCATAGTTAGCTGTCTCTAACAAAGAAACAGCATGGCAGAGGGCTTGGCAGAGGAGTAGGTCAGGAAACAAAGAGCGAAAGGAGGAACAGGAAGGGAGATAAACTCTTCAAGTCGCACCCGCAGTTACCCACTCTTCTCAGCAGACCCCCGCTCCTTACAGAAAGTCAGCCAGAAGCTTCCCACATCCAGTCACTTTCCAAAAGTCCCACTTACGAGCACATAGGACTTTGGGGGAATGTCTGCATATAAACGATAACAACAGTTTAAAGTTGCTATTTCTTTTTAATGAAGTTTTAAATCAGCTTGTATCTGAAAATCTTTGCTCTAAGGTTGCCTTATGGGTATTAGAAATCTCAAGTCAAAGTAGTTTTATTATAACTGATTTTATTCTTTTTTCTGTCTTCTCTAAGTTGAAAATAATGTCAAAAGCCTGTTTTTCCCATTTTAGCTTTCCTGTTTTAGCTTTGCCAGGTTTTTGGTATTCCTGACTTTTAACAGTTAATTAGAATAACATTTTAGGAGGACATTGACTCTATTCATGAAAATAATAACTTTATGGTAATAAAATAAATATAACATTCACCCCCATTTTTAAGTATACTGTTGGATATTTGGTGGCATCTAGTCCCTTTGCTAGGCCAACAGCCACCCCCACTCTCATTCCTTTCTATGGCTGAAGAACATTCCTCAGCATGTATGTGAAGTACATTTTACGTGTCCATCCATCTGTTGATGGATACTTGGGTTGTCTCCCCCTTTTGCCTAACATGAATGGTTCTGCTAGGAAATGTATGTACAAGACTCTTTGTGGATGTTTGTGTTCATTCTTCTCAGGAGTAGAACTGCTCATTAGATGGTAACTCTGTTTTTTGATGTTCTGAGAAACTGCCAGACTGTTTTCCCATGATGGCACCATTTTACATTCTTTTTTTCCTCCTCTTTTTTTTTTATTTTAAAGGAAATAGTACAAAAAAAAAAGAACAATAGCAAAATACAAACAACACAAAGCAAAGACATTAAAAATGATACAGGGTTTCAAACTAAATGATAGAGATTAACAGTTGTTGTTATATTACATATTGTTATCTTCAACGGAGTTGCTCAGATTACCAAATGTAAGAATAGAAGATTGATCATTCAAGGGAATAAGAAAATAATAATACTTTAAAAGAACATTAGAGACAATGCATAGTGTCACTAGGCAGGATTGTAGGAATTCATTAGCAGTGTCTGAGGGTGCCAGGTTGCCCATACCCTGCCCAGTACTTGTGATTTTCCATTTTCTTGGTAATAGCCATCCTGTTAAGTATGAGGTAGTATTTCTTGGTAGTTTTGATTTTTGTTTCCCTAATGACTAATGATGTTGAGTGTCTTTTTATGCGCTGTTGGCCATCTGTGTATCTTTGGAGAAATATCTGTTCCAGTCATTGCCTATTTGTAAATCTGGTTGTTTAGCTTTTAGTTACATTGTATATGGTCTTTATATATTCTAGTTTTTAACCTTTATCGGATGTATGGTTTGGAAATAGTTCTTCCATTTCTGATGCTTGCCTTTTTTATTTTTTTGGTAGTGCCTTTTGATGGGCTAAATTTTTTGATTTCCATGAAGTTCAACTTCTCTATTTTCTCCCCTTTTTTGCCTGTGCTTCTGTTATCTAAGAAATCACCACAAACCCAATGTTGTAAATATTTTACTTTGTGTTTTCTTCTAAGCGTTTTAGAGTTTTAACTCTTATGTTTAACTCTTAGTTTGACACATTTTTAGTTCATTTTTGTATATGGTGTTAAGTAAAGAACCACCTTTTCTTTTGTGTGTGGACATCCAGCCTCCCAGCACTATGGTTGAAGAGTCCCCAGTAAATATCCTTTGTCAGAAGTCAATTGACAGTATATGTGAGGAATTATTTCTGGGCTCTGGGCTCCAAATGTCTGTACATTTGTCTACCAGGACCACAGAATTCTGATTACTGTAGGTACATGGTAAGTTCTGAAATCAGGACATGTACATCCTCCAACTTGTTCTTTTTCAAGATTGTTCTGCTATTCAAGATCCCTTGAGACTCCATATGAATTTAGGCTTGGCTTTTTCTGTTGATGCAAAGAATACATTTCTTTGGATTCTGATATGGAAGGCATCCACTTCCTCTCAGAAGTAAATCCAGAATGACATCCTCCACCTCTCCACCACCTCTGAATTGTGTCAGGGACGATGTCTTCAGACCCTTGCGCTTTGCTTTCTACACAGTCAAAAAGTGGGGACAGGTCTTAGAGTCGATCTTATAATCAGTCTGCATTCATCTGCTGGTGAGGATTGGCGGTCAGCGGTGTCCTGCAGCAGTAGCTTGCGGCCTGAGTGCTGGACGGACTCAGAGGAGTAGCCACCGCACTTCTGCAGCTGCTCAACCCGTCTGTGCCCAGCCAGCCAAAACTCAGAGCCTGTGTGTGCAAGAAGACAGGAAGCCCTAGTGTCATTGTTCCCTGGCCTCCAGCAAAAGTCTGTTCCACAGCGTAGAATCTTTTGAAAGCAGGTGGTTTTGGAGCTGGGTCATCTCGTGGCCAGTGGCCAAGTCGTACCTCCCAGCTTAGCTAGAGTTGGCGAGTGGCCACACTTAGGCCTTTACACCTGGACCAGTCCTGGAGAATTAACGATAATGGCAGACAAAGTGTGTGTTGTCAACGGCTTCATGTCTGGAAGACAGGAGACCTGCTTCCACCCAAATGTGGCGTTCAGAGGAAAGGCTACCTGAGAAGAAAGCTGTAGGGCTTCACTGGTCCGTGTTTTGATATCCTTAGAGGAGACAGTGTTGTCATCTGTGCTGCCCACGCTGCCTCTTCCTCCTTTGACCCTCATCGTGTGAGTGAGGAGTTCCTGCCACGAGCATGCTGGTCCTGATTTGTCTTCCCTCGGTGACACTGTTTCCTTCCTCCATAAGCTTCCTGTGGCTGCACAGGCCCGGAGCTGTCAGTGTGCCAGGTGAAACCTACCACGTAAAGAACCTTTTCGGCATGTTTTTGCCAATATGAAAATAAATATCAACAGACTCATAATCTTCTTAATTCTGAACATCCAACTTGTACCTTTTATGTATGAACCATTACATCTTTAAAATGCCCATGAATTAATGCACTGTTTTAGGGGCAAGAGATTCTACTTTGTGGACCTTTTACTTGATTTCAAAGAAATCCCAGTGACTATCTCTGTGGACTCTTCCTCTACATTCCTTCTGACCCTAAAAATACAGAGGCATAGGAATATTATTGAACAGGTAGGACAATCAGGGTTCACTAGTTTTGTGTATCATTCTAATTCCAAAAAGAAAAATGTGTCTTCTAGAAAATAAAGCAACTAATTCTTATCTCTACTATGTCAGCATGAACATGATGATCTGTTTATCCCATTGCGATTGAAAATGAAGTTGGGTAGTAATTAGATCAATTTATCTTCTACAATGCAAAATATGCGTGTGGCCATGTAATTTATTTTCTGTGAACCTTAAGTTTTAAGACGAGAAAGAAGCTCTCAAAGAATGTAAGGAATTTTTATTAGCTTGCTAGTTGTCCATTGTAGCTAAAAGAAAAAAGGCCCAGAACTTCCTGACCCCTCACCATTCCACTGACGCCTGTGAACTTACTGCTGCATTTGCACACTTGAAGTGCAAGAACTACGGGTGCCTGCCTGTCCCTGGGGGTTTCCCAGCCACAGCAGAGCTGTGCTGAGTCCACGCACACCAGTGCCTGCCCACTTCTCTCATTCTGGGTTCTCCTTCTCCAACGATTGTGCCTTCTCACTTGCTTTTAGCACTGTGTTCTTGTGAGAACCTGCGAAGTGCAGTTAACACAGAAATGAGAAGCACATGCCTGCCCTGCCACACACAAATGTGTGTAGCTCTGACCAGGGTCCACATCTCCCAAACCCATTTAACCCTACTGTATTTTGGGGAGCATGGAGCTGGCTTAAAATCGCCCCCAATGTAATTCTTAAGACAATACTGTTTACCCCCTCAGATGGGTCAGATGTGGGCACAGCTAGGCTGGATTCCCTGCTCGGGGTCTCATGGCTATTGTAGTTTTGTTCCTGTGATTGTAGGACTGAGGTGGTGTTTCCTGTCTGGCTGATGGCTAAAGCTACCCTCAGCCCCTCGAGGTCCTGGAGTCCCAGCCATGTGGCCCCTCCGAGCATGGCAGCTGGCCTCCAGACTAGCCGAGAAGGGCCTGTCTGTAAATCTCTTCGTGCAGAGCTCCCTGATGCAGTGAGGCCCACTCAGGCAATCTCCTTTTTGTTTAACACGAAGTAACTAGTATCACAGATGTAGAATCTCATCACAGCAACAGCCCATGGTATTCACAAGTATGGAGGACCACCTGGGCAACTCTTCTTGAAGGAGGAGCAATTGCCTCCATTTTGGCTGAGCCTGACCCTATTTCCATGTACTGATGTGTACAGAGCCCTTTCCTAGGGCCCTTTCCTTTATCCCTTCAGTTGGCTTTAAGCGATGCATATGGGTCCAGCTGAGGTGCTGATAGTAGTATTTGAAGATAGCAAGTATGTTTCTCTGGACCCCCACCTATTGTTCCCTTGTGTGAGCCTGAACAAGATGGGATGAAGAGCCAGTGTCCCAGCTGTCAGCTGGGATTGAGCCTTGAGATAGAGGCTGTGACTTCCTGGGGCTTCAGAGATTACACAGCAGAGCTGAAGCACCAGCCCCAAAACATTAGATACTATCTCAGTTGTGTTATGCAGATTACTCTTTCTGCATATCCTTCTGTCTGCATTTGCATGTCAGGCCTCCTACCTAACCCAGCTCATGGCACTGACGTACTTCCTGTGATTCTCAGTTACTCATCTTTAAGCCACTCCC